ATTTGCATTTCAAAAAGGCAGGGAAATTTGATGGAGTACCTCAAAGTTTTGATGCAAAAACGCATGTTCGCACCGGCTCGCCTGGTGCGTTCCTGGGTTTTCTTCTCTCATGTCTGTGGATCAGCGTGCGGCTGCAACTCATTTCGTGTTGTCCTATGATCATACCGGTCAAACTGTTAAACTACTATATTGGTCAAAACTATTACATTATTCTCCTATCTTTTATGCTTTTGGTTTATTTATGACTGGTGTTCTACGATCTCTCGCAGGAGTGAATGTCATAACTATATCCACTGAATCTGAAGTGACTTGGCAACCATTTTGACGAAATTCACGTCTAATGAAACCAACTTTGGTATGAAACCTCATGGTTTTTGCTAATTGTCATTTTCCAGTCAGTTTAGAAATGCAATTAAAACTGGAACCAAAATAGAAACAAAGGAATGGAATTGAGGAAGAATTAGAATTTAGCTGCTAATTCTTAATCAGTGAATCCAATTTCTTGCTTTTTTAGCGATTGCTTAAAGTGATTTTTTTTCAAACAAAATTTCTGTGTTGCAGTGGGCCGACCACTCAGCGTCAACGTTGCTCAGTGCTTCCAACATGCTTGCTATCAACAGTTCAAGTGCGCGAAATCAAAACCAAGCACATGTCGCCGTGCTCAAATCCTGTGTCATTTCGCGCTGATCAGGCTGAGACTTTTGTTAGCGATGCAGACTTACCGCATTGCGTGGATGCCCTGAGTGTTGCCGAAATGGTATGTACTTCTTGGAATATTCACTGTTTTTTTTTTGTGTTATTTCTTTACTAGCAACTACGTAATGGTCAGTGCAGTGGTCATTAATATCATGTTACTTTTTTCACCAAATCAGGTATCCGTGCTTTAAGGACATCGCTTAAAAAAAATCCTGTAGGATTTAAATTAAATTTGTTACCATTTTTCCTGGCGAGTGCTTAGAGGAGAATTTTTTAGCGGTTTCATAGCCAGCCTTAGACAACTTACTTACCTTCGGGGACAGTTGTTGTCAGCACAGAATACTTCGGGGACAGTTGTTTCAGCACAGAATATGAAAACCGAAATGGAATCACGGATTTGACGCTTTTCATTTAAAAAAAGTCTTTTCTTATACTCTCTCTCTCTTTCCTCTTTAATTTAGCCGTAATCCAGGGAAACCGCTCTTCTAAGTTATGAAAAAGTTTGAAAATCTGTGGCAAGAAGTGCGAGTTTTTTCTAAGCGGGGTGTAAAATTAGTCACCAAAATTGGCTCAGCCCTAAAATTAAAGCAAAGAATTAGGCGCTTTTTCCGGTTGAGATTCACTGTGTCTAGACTGCGCTACCAGACTGGTTGAGATCCGGATTTCGGACATGTTAGTGGTCAAAATGGCTATAGTTGTTTTAGTGGACGAGCGAAAAGTGTTGTATTTTCTTTAGCAGCGTATGCGAAAATTGGCATTTCTGAAGCTGTCAGCGATGATCGAGACTCATGCGGGTGCTGGTGTTCGGATTGATGCTGCTGTAGCTGATGGCAATGATGCAACTGCTGGTAGTAATGCGAAAAGCTGGGCGGTACAGAGATTTATCAGGCGAATGCGCAATAACGACACTAACAACAGTAACAACAATAATAAGCCAACCAGAAGTAAGTGTTGTTTCAGTCTGGTTCAGTCTGGTTCAGTTAAGACCAGGAACATCGGTTATGCGGCATGGGTAGTCTATGTTAATTATGTCGTCAGAATACGGCGAAGCTACGTTAGAGTTTTCGATCCTGAGCTGCATAACTCCAGTTAGTACCCACTGCTTGATCGGTGTACATGGGTCGGAGACTCGGCTGGCGTCATATAGGATTTGTGGAAAATTTTTTCTGATGATGGCAGGTAGGACTACCCTACGCGAATGGCGGGAGAGTTCGAATGTGGCAAGCGGAACCTGAGGGAAGGGGAGGAAGGGCAGTGTGCTGCGGTTTCGTTCGAGGCAGAGGAGAGGGGCTGGGATAGGTAGATTTAATGTCTACATGGTATAGGTTCTTTGTCGACTGGCTAGGCCATGCACATTTGGAGGGGAGGGGTGATGAGTGGTAAGGATGATGAAGTGTGCTTTTGATTTTTGCAGCGGATATCCGGACTAGGGCAACGACTGAAATACTTTTTACCTCCACATGCTTTTATAGTAGAAGTGGTGAGGATCTCAGATATTGTTTTACGGGCAAAATTTGGAGAGAGGACAGAGAAGGTTGTCTACAAGTAACATGCTTTGTCCATTGTATTTTACGTTCTTGCGTGGTCGCAATGATATTCCTGCATTTCATACATCCACATACATTTCTAATACAATTTTAAATTTCAGCGGAAATCTCAACATTTGGACTGCCATTGGCCATTGCAC